AGAACCACACCAGGTGTCTTGTTACTAACGCTGCGATTAATAAATCCAAGTGTCCGATTTGCCTTATTACGAACATTTATGCATTGATCCTTTTGTTTTAAATTCTTACTAATCATAACTCCCAGATCCCTTTCGCAATCCGACTTCGCAATCACAACACCATCTAGCTCGTATCTTGTAACTCTATCATCATTACCTAACCTCAGAACTTTACATTTATCAGCATTAAACTGCATCTGCCAATCCTTTGACCATTTCAAAACCCTATCTAGATCAACTTGAAGTGATAGTGAGTCCTCCTCCGAATTAATTTCCCTACCGATTTTCGTATCATCGGCAAATTTGCAAATGTTGCTACTCAAACCTGAATCTAAATCATTTATATATATTATAAACAACAGAGGTCCCAGGACAGAGCCTTGAGGCACTCCACTTACAACATTTTCCCACTCTGACTTGATTCCATTTATACTAACTCTCTGTTTCCTTTGGTATAGCCATGCCCTAATCCAGCTTAATATAGCACCCCCAATACCATGAGACTCTATTTTTTTAATCAGTCTTTCATGTGGCACTGTATCAAAAGCTTTGCTAAAGTCAAGGTATACAACATCGCAATCCTTACCACTATCAACTGCCTCAACAATGCTAGAATAAAAAGATAACAAATTTGTTAAACATGAACGGCCATTTATAAAACCATGTTGCGACTCAATTATTAATTTATGTTTTTCAAGATGAAGACGAATTTTATTTGCTATTATAGATTCGAGTAACTTTCCCACAATAGACGTTAGGCTAATTGGTCGATAGTTAGACGCAAGTGATCTATCTCCTTTCTTAAAAACTGGTATCACATTAGCAACTTTCCAAAACTCTGGCACTCTGCCTGACTCTATTGATTTATTAAATATGGTTGACAGTGGGTCACAAAGCTCCTCTTTGCATTCTTTAAGCACCCTAGCAAACACTTCATCCGGCCCTGGGGATTTGTTTGGTTTGAGTTTTACTATTTGTTTAAGAACATCCTCCCTGGTAACTGCTAAACTCGTCAACCTGTCCTCGTCCCCACCCACATAGACTTGTTCGGCTGAAGGCATATTGTTAAGTTCCTCTTTAGTAAATACAGATACAAAATATTTATTAAAAATACTACTCATCTCTTCATCACTATCTGTTATTTGACCTGTCTCAGTTTTTAATGGACCTATCCTTTCCCTAGTCTTAGTACGATATAACTGAAAAAAACCTTTAGGATTTGTCTTTGCTTGCCCTGCTATGCGAACTTCATAGTTTCTTTTTGCTTTCCTTATCTCTTTTTTAACATTTCTAACCAGTTGTACGAATTCCTGTTCTAAAGTGACCTCCCCATTTTTAATCCTTTTGTACCAAGCTCTCTTTTTACCTATAAGGTTCTTCAAATTCTTTGTTATCCACTTTGGGTCATTAGTATACGATCTATTCAATTTGTATGGTATACTACGTTCCTGTGCTTTGTTTAGAATATTCTTAAATAAGTTATATATTGAATCCACATCGAAATCCCCATTTAAGTCACCTATCGCTGGGTTCATGTCTCGCTCCAAGACCGGCCCACACCCCATACCCAAGCCATTCCAATCAATTTGACCCAAAAAATTTCTTAGGCTATTAAAATCAGCTTTTCGAAAATCTGGCACTTTAACAGAATTTTCTCCTACTGGTCTATTCCATTCTATGCTAAATCTGATTTCTTTGTGATCACTGCTCCCTAGCTCACTCCCTATTTCGATGTCATTAATTTGCGTTTCCCTGTTAGTTAACACTAAATCTAAAATATTATTTTCCCGTGTTGGTTCCTTAATGTGTTGCGTAAGAAAGCAATCGTCAATTAATTCTAGAAAATCTTCTGCTTCACTATTCCCTGTTTTGTTCAACCAGTTTATTCCGCTAAAATTAAAGTCACCCATGACATAAATACTGTTAGATCTAGATGCTCTAGATATTTCATCCCATAGATGCTTTGCTTCCATTCTGTCTAAATTTGGTGGCCTATATATTACTCCTATTATAATATTATTAGCTTTTTCGTTTAATTCAATCCAAATAGTTTCTGTGTGTGGCTCTGTTTTGATTCCCTCTTTGAGACTACATTTCAAATTGTCCCTAACATATATGGCTACTCCACCTCCTCGTCTAATATATCTATCTGTGTGAAATAGTTTAAATCCATATATTTGATATTCAGCTAATAGTTCTCTATTTTCTACATTCATCCACGTTTCGGTAAGTGCAATAATATCTATTTTTTCTGTGCAGACAAGAGCATTTAATTCGTTAATTTTATTTCTTAGACTTCTACTGTTAGTGTAATATACCCTAAGTGAATTGTTATTTTGCGGACCTTCTCTTTCCCTGATCGTTTTGCCAATTCCTTTCTCCCACAAACACATACTTTTATTACCTCCTTCCTCCAAATCAATTCCCATACCTCTAACTACTAACAGTTTAAACCCAAACAAACACCTCTAACCACTTCTTCTAGCGAGTTCGCAACAGCAACAACCCCAGCTCTCGATAGATGCACCCCATCACGAGCATACATTTCATTTCTTCCATAGAAGTGTTCCCAGTTGTCTATGAAAGATATTGCATTTGATTTGCAATATCTTTCCAGCCGGCAATTGACACCAAGTGCCCTCGATATCCATTCATTTCCCACTCCCTTTCTTGGAAGAATGCCACATATGATCGGGATTCCTCCCTTGCTCCTAACTAACTCTATGGCTGTTTTATACCTCTGAATCAGTTCCTCACTCCTGACTCGACCAACATCATTTCCTCCCACGCTAATGCAAATAATGGGATTGTTCCCATTACCAGCCATAATATCATTCATGTTGTTTATAATATCACCAATGCCAGCTCCGGGATAGCAAACCCTTAACCTGTTCCCCCTATCTCTAGCACAAAACGTTCTATCCAAATACCTTATCTGGGAATCTCCCACAACTAATGTTTGCTTAGGTACTTCCTTTACTTTCTGAGGGGCCTGCGCTTCCTTTCTCTTCGTTGCTTTCCCTTTTGCGCGATCCACAGTCTCTCCACAGCACTCGTCCTCCAAAACGTCAAATGAATTTGAAGTTGCTATGGCGTTTGAAGGCGGCTTTATCAAAGTCTTCTTAAGGCCCCTGTCTTTCGCAACTCTCCAAGACGAGGTCCCTTTACTGCTGGTCTCCTCCTTCGTTACTTCTCGTAGTTTTTTAAGCTGACGCACCTCCTCCCGCAGAGAGTCCAACTCTGTCCTCAGGGCTCCCACTAGAGTCACCAGGTCCTTCACTACAACTTCCATATTGCTATAACAACACTCAGGAGCTCCGGTTAACACAACCTCTCACTTCCTCCAAATCAATTCCCATACCTCTATCTACTAACAGTTTAAACCCAAACAAACACCTCTAACCACTTCTTCCAACGAGTTCGCAACAGCAACATCCCCAGCTCTCGATAGATGCACCCCATCACGAGCATACATTTCATTTCTTCCATAGAAGTGTTCCCAGTTGTCTTTGAAAGATATTGCATTTGATTTGCAATATCTTTCCAGCCGGCAATTGACACCAAGTGCCCTCGTTATCCATTCATTTCCCACTCCCTTTCTTGGAAGAATGCCACATATGATCGGGATTCCTCCCTTGCTTCTAACTAATTCTATGGCTGTTTTATACCTCTGAATCAGTTCCTCACTCCTAACTCGACCAACATCATTTCCTCCCACGCTAATGCAAATAACGGGATTGTTCCCATTTCCAGCCATAATATCATTCATGTTGTTTATAATATCACCAATGCCAGCTCCGGGATAGCAAACCCTTAACCTGTTCCCCCTATCTCTAGCACAAAACGTTCTATCCAAATACCTTATCTGGGAATCTCCCACAACTAAGGTTTGCTTAGGTACTTCCTTTACTCTCTGAGGGGCCTGCGCTTCCTTGCTCTTCGTTGCTTTCCCTTTTGCGCGATCCACAGTCTCACCACAGCACTCGTCCTCCAAAACGTCAAATGAATAAATTTGCGTAGAATATTTTTAAATAAGTTATGTTTTGAATCCACATCGAAAACCCCCTTTACATCACCCATCGCTGGGTTCACGTCTCGCTCCAAGACCGGTCCAACCCCCCATGCCCAGGACTTTCCAATCTATTTCACCCAAAAAATTTCTTAGGCCATTAAATTCAGCTTTTTAAAAATCTGGCACTTTAACAGATTTTATCCTACAAATCTATTTCATTCTATGCTAAATCTGATTTCTTTGTGAATTATGCAGTTTAGTTTTAGTAACCATATCATATAATGGATATAAATTAACTAGAACGCGTCCAGCGTAGGATTACAAAGTTAATCCCCAAATTAGAAACCTGTCAAATGAAGAGAGATTGAAAAGGCTTAAATTACATTCTCTAGAAAGGTGAAGAATTAGAGGTAACATGATAGAGGTGTATAAGTGGATGAATGGACATAACAAAGGGGGATATTAATAGGTTATTAAAAGTATCAACACAAGATAGAACACGAAACAATGGGAATAAATGAGATAAGTTTAGATTTAAGAAAGACCTGGGTAAATACTGGTTCAGTAACAGGGTTGTTGATTTGTAGAACAAATTACCGCGTAACATAATAGAAGTAGGAGCTCTTGATTGCTTCAAGCGTAGGTTTAACATATATATATGAAAGAAATTGGGTGGATATAAATAGGAGCTGCCTCACAGGGGCCAATAGGCCTTCTGCAGTTACCTTCATTCTTATGTTCATCTGCCAATCTTTTGACCATTTCAAACCCCCTTTTTAAATCGTCTGGAAGGGAAAGCGAGTCTTTTTTTCGTGTTTATTTCCCTCCCGATTTTCATATCATCGGCAAATTTGCAAGACGGTATCACCCACCATCTCCCTGACCCGGTACCTCCGTCACTGTGTGTCTACAGGGCCGCCTCTCTCACAACACCTGACGCCTCACGTACCTCCTTCAGCTCCTGCAGGTCGGCCAGGGTCACCAGGAACCGCTCGTCGTCTTCCATCGTCTCCAGCTTCATGATCAGCTGGAAGTCGTTAGCACAGACGCCACACTGGACCCAGTACGGCGTCCAGCACACCACCTGTGGACGGAGTCGTCGTCACCTTCAACACTCTTTATGAATTCGACATCAGGAATGGACAAAATTATTTGAGTTTACCTTAATACTTCGCAAAGCATTGTTTCTGAGAGGCCATTGATAGCAGGGAAAACTGGGCATTGGTGCCTTTTTACATTTCAATATTGTTGAATATTTCTCAAAATAACTGCAGGAACTTTCAAACACACTTCACAATTCAGACAAAAGTATTTCCTTAGCCTAATATCTGCGGTAAAAGCAAAAAACCTGTAGATTATCTTGCCTTCCTCCAGTCTTTGAGGGTGTGGAGGTGTGCGGTGGAGTCAATGACGTACTGAGCGAACTCCTCAAACGTCGGGAAGATCGAAGTCTCGTTGCTGCCACTTGACCTGTACCTGAGTCCAAGCAAAAGACAATTACTCAAAAGTTTTCTGGATCCGCTGTGGAGAAGCACCAACAGCTCATTTTAAAATTCTCTGTAAATTTAAAATTCATAGAGGTTGACTGGCCTTAATAACCCTCCAGAGGCTGACAGGCGTTAATAACCCTCCAGAGGTTGACAGCCCTTAATAACCCTCCAGAGGTTGACAGGCCTTAATAACCCTCCAGAGGTTGACAGGCCTTAATAACCCTCCAGAGGCTGACAGGCCTTAATAACCCTCCAGAGGTTGATAGGCCTTAAGCCCAACACCAAACCTCATGATAACAAATCATTAGCCAGGAAATGTAATCTTACCTTGAGATAATATCGAGCTGGAGCTGACGGAAGTTGAACATCAGTGGCCGCGGGGAGAGTGTGGTCAGCTTGTCCCTGTAGGCCGACAGCAGCCTGTGTGGGAGTCATGGGCTTCATCACCAACCATACTAGGTAATGTTTATGGCTGATCATAGACATAATAACTTGGAACAAAGTTAGCCACACTTGTGTAAATGGTTCTGACGAGAGACGAGACTTACATCTCAATGACTCGCCCTAACCATACACTCAGACCTTCATATTGCACTCAGGAGATGCTAAAGACTTCAAATCTTTACACTTAATACAAAAATACATAAGTATGGATTTTTTTTAACCAACCAACCACACTGTAATGGCCGTGGCTAGACATAGCTGAATTAGAAATAGCCTAGAAATATATAACAACACATTAATCATTTTGAATACGCGAGTGTCGGTCAGAATAACTTAACCAAGTTGTTTGCATCCACCCCGCAATCGCCGCCTTAAAAACCATCAGTCCATCGAGATCGGGTTCAGCAACGAAGTTAAGGATTGTCAATAAAGTGTCCCCCCTCGCTGGAGACGTTGGGTACCACAGTTCTACGGGTGTGAGTGTGTGCCTCCCCAAACACCCGGGCGTCAAAACAGAAGATGTCCGAAAGAATAATCAGGAATGAGTAGTTGAGGAAATACACACAAGATTGCATAAAGCACCACCGTGAACATGCCGGTCTCTGGAAGCAGGCGGCACATAGAGGTTTGGTCGGGAAAGATAAAAGAGTAGCCAACACAGTTGGCAGAGTTAGACCCATCAGAACAGACGACAATGGGGGCATGAGAGCGAAGTAAAGTGTTCAAGGAAAAGGCGTTTCATAATCGTAGGAGGCGTAGAAGCCTTTACCATGCGGGTCAAGGTCTTGTCTAACTTTGCAAGTGGGACCCTCCATCGGGGCAGAGATCGGATGACACATGGAGAAATATTGCAAACATGAACAAGAAGAACGCTTGCAAGAGGAATCTTGCAAGCGAGACATCCGTACAGGAAAAGGAAGGTGGTGAAGAAAGGGAGAAGTCCCACAGGAGGGGGAACAAGTCCCACAGGAGGAGGAACAAGTCCCACATGAGAGGGAACACGTCCCACATGAGAGGGAACAAGTCCCACAGGAGTGGGAACAAGTCCCACAGGAGGGGGGAACAAGTCCCACAGGAGGGGGGAACAAGTCCCACAGGAGGGGGGAACAAGTCCCACAGGAGGAGGAACAAGTCCCACATGAACGGGAACACGTCCCACATGAGAGGGAACAAGTCCCACAGGAGTGGGAACAAGTCCCACAGGAGGGGGGAACAAGTCCCACAGGAGGGGGGAACAAGTCCCACAGGAGGGGGGAACAAGTCCCACAGGAGTGGGAACAAGTCCCACAGGAGGAGGAACAAGTCCCATAGGAGGGGGGAACAAGTCCCATAGGACAGGAAGAAAGTGCCCATGGACGGGAAGAAAGTCCCACAGGAGGGGGAAGCAAGTCCCATGGAAGGGGGAACAAGTCCCACAGGATGGTAAACAAGTCCCACAGGAGAGGGAACAATTCTCACAGGAGGAGGAACAAGTCCCAAAGGAGGAGAACAAGTCCCAAAAGAGGGGAGCAAGTCCCACAAGAGGGGGGAACAAGTCCCATAAGAGGGGGAGCAAGTCCAACAGGAGTGGGAACAATTCCCACAGGATGGGGAGCAAGTCCCACAGGAGGGGAAACAAGTCCCGCAGGATGGGAAGCAAGTCACACAGAAGCGGGAACAAGTCTCAAGGGAAGGGGAACAAGACTTGTCCCCCCCAGACTATGGGGGGACAAGTCTCACAGAAGGGGGAACAAGTCCCACAAGAGGGGGAGTAAGTTCCACAGGAGGGGGAGCAAGTCCAACAGGAGTGGGAACAATTCCCACAGGATGGGGAGCAAGTCCCACAGGAGGAGAAGTCCCACAGGAGGGAGGACCAAGTCCCACAGAAGGGGGAATGAGTCCCACAGGAGGGGGAGCAAGTCCCACACGAAGGTAAAATACATGAGGTGACCACTCACCTCGTTAATTATATGAGGTGAAACAGGGACAAGACAGCGGACCAGGCGTCTTGTCTCAAGGAAAGACGCACGTTCACTATGTTTAAGGTTGAGGACGGCTTGTTCAAATTTATAGTGCATGCATGTGTGGCATAAGGCAGGATGGGCCTCACTGCAGTTAATGTTGTAAGCTTGAGGAGATGAGCAGTCTTACTCAGAATGACCCGGGTCTCCACACAAGGGGCAAAGTGGCATCTTCATAGTGCACTTGAAGGGACCATGACCAAATATCCAACACCTATTGCTGAGGCTTGGAGAGGGTATTTATTCCTGATTGGAGCATATGGTACCAGAAAGGATTACGGAGGACGGAAAGGTCTGACCATCAAAAGTGATCTTGACTACCTGATGGGGCAGACGACCACCACCGCCACGAGGAGGGCCGAGCGAACATATTAGTCTGGAGGATACAATAACCTTGAGCCTCGAGGATATTTTTAATATCCTCATGGCCATCTTTGAGGTCGCAATCACCCGTCTCAACACAGTGCAAGAGAATGACTGCGCTAATACTTGCAATACAGACGAGCCGATTGGTTCAGGAGGGCCACATTGAGCCTCCCATTGTACTCCTCGCATGGGGGCATTTCCCCGTCTTACTAAAATAAGACAGGAAAAGGAAGAATGTGCAGTCTGTATTTTTCTTGACAGACAAAAAGCATTTGACATTTGTTCCCCATGAGAGATTGTTTTACAAGATGTAGAACATGGTTGGGATAACTGGGAAAACACTGGACTGGGTAAGGGAGCATCTGAAGGACAGAAAACAAAGAGTCACGACCAAAAAGAAATGTAACTAGTGGGGGTCCCACAAGGCTCTGTCCTGGGACCGCTGCTGTTCCTAATTTATGTGAATGACCTGCCTGAGGGAGTGAGCTCAGACATGTCAATGTTTGCAGATGATGCAATGAAGATGTCCAACACGTCCTCCTAAAAGAGCATCGCATTTTGACGGAAATTTTACCTAGAGCCAAAAATTGTCGTACTAGAACATGGTGGCGGCTCGCCAAAATTGACATATTGTTCAGTTTTCTGTTCTATGTCTTCTGGTAGGTTAGGATAGGGAACTTTAGTACGACTGTTTCTTGACGTTGGGAAACCTTAGGAGGACAGGCTGGGTGAGGAACGTGAAAACAGACGAGAATTGCAGAAAGATACAGGAGACCCTTGGCAGTCTCCAGGAGTGGTCAAGGAATTCAATCCCAAGAAGTGTAAGGCAATGAAGATGGGAAAAGAAAAGAGAAGACCAGAAGGCAGCTACACCATAAAGGGAAGGCAGCTACACCATACAGGGAAGGCAGCTACACCATAAAGGGAAGGCAGCTACACCATACAGGGAAGGCAGCTACACCATACAGGGAAGGCAGCTACACCATACAGGGAAGGCAGCTACACCATAGAGGGAAGGCAGCTACACCATACAGGGAAGGCAGCTACACCATACAGGGAAGGCAGCTACACCATAAAGGGAAGGCAGCTACACCATAAAGGGAAGGCAGCTACACCATAAAGGGAAGGCAGCTACACCATAAAGGGAAGGCAGCTACACCATAAAGGGAAGGCAGCTACACCATAAAGGGAAGGCAGCTACACCATAAAGGGAAGGCAGCTACACCATAGAGGGAAGGCAGCTACACCATAAAGGGAAGGCAGCTACACCATAAAGGGAAGGCAGCTACACCATAGAGGGAAGGCAGCTACACCATAAAGGGAAGGCAGCTACACCATAAAAGGAAGGCAGCTACACCATAGAGGGAAGGCAGCTACACCATAAAGGGAAGGCAGCTACACCATACAGGGAAGGCAGCTACACCATACAGGGAAGGCAGCTACACCATAAAGGGAAGGCAGCTACACCATAAAGAGAAGGCAGCTACACCATAAAGAGAAGGCAGCTACACCATAAAGGGAAGGCAGCTACACCATAAAGAGAAGGCAGCTACACCATAAAGAGAAGGCAGCTACACCATAAAGGGAAGGCAGCTACACCATAAAGGGAAGGCAGCTACACCATAAAGGAAAGGCAGCTACACCATACAGGAAAGGCAGCTACACCATACAGGGAAGGCAGCTACACCATACAGGGAAGGCAGCTACACCATAGAGGGAAGGCAGCTACACCATAAAGGGAAGGCAGCTACACCATACAGGGAAGGCAGCTACACCATACAGGGAAGGCAGCTACAGGAATCAGAAAGAGATCTGGAAGTGGGTATAATTACGACACACATAAACGGGATAACATCGGCAGCACATGAGACACTGGCAAATATAAGAACATCGTTCAGTAACCTGAATCAAGACTCTTTCAAAGCAATCTACACAACACTTGATAGACCAATACTGGAAAACGCATCACCAGCAAGGAATCACCACCTCAGCTTAAAGTCAATCTAAAACAGTACAAAGGTCCGCAACAAGACTGGATACAGAGCTACGAAGGTAGGCTTATGGAACTAAATCTCACAGCCCTATAGGATAGAAGGAAGATAGAGGATATGATCACAACTTACAAAATACTTAAGGGAATAGATAAGGTGGATAAGGATGGCCTTTTCAGATTGAGAGAAAGCAGGAAAAGAAGTCACCTGGTGTCCCGACACATCTGGTGACCCCACCCTACCTGGTGACCCCCACCCTACCTGGTGACCTCACCCTACCTGGTGACCCCCCACCCTACCTGGTGACCCCCCACCCTACCTGGTGACCCCACCCTACCTGGTGACCCCCACCCTACCTGGTGACCCCCACCCTACCTGGTGACCCCACACCCTACCTGGTGACCCCCACCCTACCTGGTGACCCCCCACCCTACCTGGTGACCCCACCCACCTGGAGAAGGGATGCCTGACGATGATGACTCTGAGGGCCTCCCGGAAGACGGCATCTCGCATCACCGTGGTGTCAGGGGCGGGGAAGAACCGGTACACAATGGTGTGCATGTTCACGTCCAGGAACTGTGACTCCTGCCGGGGCGGGGGAGAAGGGTGGGTTATGTACACAGCACATAACACACACACACACACAACACACACAACACACACACAACACACACAACACACACACAAAGCACATAACACACACACAACACACACAACACACACAACACACACACAAAGCACATAACACACACACACACAAAGCACATAACACACACACAACACACACACAAAGCACATAACACACACACAACACACACAAAACACACAACACACACACAAAGCACATAACACACACAAACAAAGCACATAACACACACACAACACACACACAAAGCACATAACACACACACAACACACACACAAAGCACATAACACACACACAAAGCACATAACACACACACAAAGCACATAACACACACACAAAGCACATAACACACACACAAAGCACATAACACAGTTTGTTTGAAGTTTGAAGACCTGGGAAATCGAGTTACCAATGAGTGCACAAGCTTCATACATGGAACTCTGACAGTAGATGGGAGGAAGATTGTGATCTTGGTAATCTACAATCCCCCACCAAACAGTAGAAAACCCAGGCAGGAGTATGATGACAACAACAAAGCATGTATAGATGAACTGCAGAAGGCAGCAACACTAGCCCACAGAATGAGAGCGAAGCTGCTGATCATGGGGGACCTAAATCATGGAGAGATAAATTGGGAATCAAGGAATCCCCATGGAGGGGACGAAACGTGGGGAGCAAAATTAGTAGATGTTATAGACAGGAATTTCCTGACACAACATGTGAAGGAAGACACAAGGGAAAGAGGAGGAGATGCACCGAGCCTATTAGACCTGATTTTCACCCAGAACGTAGAAGATATCGAGAATTTAGAGCATGAAATACCTCTAGGGGCCAGTGACCATTGTGTCCTAGTCTTTGACTTCATGATGGAATTCAAACTTATGACCATGGGACAAGAGATCTGGGAAAGGAGAGCTGACTACAGGAAAGGGGACTATATGAGGATAAGGGACTATCTGGGTGAAGTGCAGTGGGAGGAAGAAATTAGAGGAAAAACAGTCCAAGATATGATGGACCTAGTCATACAGAAATGCCAGGAGGCCGAAGAGAGATTTATACCAACGGTAAAGGGAAAAAATAAGAAGGAATATAATAACCCATGGTTTAATAGACAGTGTCAGGAAGCAAAAATGGCCAGCAGGCGGGAGTGGAGGAAGTACAGAAGACAAAGAACAGAGGACAACAGAAGCAGATACAACAGAGCTAGGAACGATTACATTAACATAAGACGAACATCGGAAAGGGACTATGAGAACGATATTGCAATCAAAGCGAAAAAACAACCTAAGTTACTACACAGTCATATAAGAAGAAAAATGTCGGTGAACGACCAAGTGACAAGACTAAGGAAGACAGAGGGGGCATATACTGAAAGTGACAAGGAAATCTGCGAGGCACTGAATGCCAGTTTCCATGGAGTGTTCACTACCGAGCCTGAGCAGCTCCCATTGTTGGAAGGGGTTACCCTAGATAAAAGACTATCAGATATAGAGGTGACAGCAGAGGAGGTAATGAAACAGTTGACAACTCTAGATGCAACTAAAGCAGTTGGACCAGACAAAGTATCACCGTGGATACTAAAAGAAGCAGCACAGGCCCTCAGCGTGCCTCTGGCAATGATCTTTAATGAGTCACTTATGTCAGGAGAATAGCCCAGTTGCTGGAAGAAGGCAAATGTCGTGCCGATCTTCAAGAAAGGAGATAGGGAGGAGGCACTTAACTACAGACCTGTATCACTGACAAGCATCCCCTGTAAAATACTGGAAAGAATAATTAGGCTACGACTGGTTGCACACCTGGAGAACATTAGGTTTGTGAACAAACATCAACATGGGTTCTGGACAGGGAAATCGTGCCTAACAAACCTTCTGGAATTCTATGATAAAATAACGAGGATAAGACAGGACAGAGATGGTTGGGCAGACTGCATATTTCTGGACTGCCAAAAAGCCTTTGATACAGTACCGCACATGAGACTGCTGTTCAAGCTCGAGAGGCAGGCGGGGGTGTGGGGAAAGGTCCTAGAATGGATAAGGAACTACCTAACAGGAAGGAGCCAAAGAGTTACGGTAAGGGGCGAGAAGTCGGACTGGCGAACAGTAACAAGTGGAGTACCACAAGGATCGGTGCTGGGACCAATTCTATTTCTTGTATATGTTAACGACATGTTTACAGGCGTAGAGTCCTACATGTCGATGTTTGCGGATGATGCAAAGTTGATGAGAAGAGTTGTGACAGATGAGGATTGCAGGATCCTCCAAGAGGACCTGAACAGATTGCAGAGATGGTCAGAGAAATGGCTACTAGAATTCAACACGAGTAAATGTAAAGTTATGGAAATGGGACTAGGAGATAGGAGACCAAAGGGACAGTACACAATGAAGGGGAACAGCCTACCTGTAACGACGCGTGAAAGAGACCTGGGGGTGGACGTAACACCTAATCTATCTCCTGAGGCACATATTAATAGGATAACGACAGCAGCGTACTCTACACTGGCAAAAGTTAGAACATCATTCAGAAACCTAAGTAAGGAGGCATTTAGGGCGCTTTACACTGCCTACGTAAGGCCAGTCTTAGAGTATGCCGCCTCATCATGGAGTCCCCATCTGAAGAAGCATATAATGAAACTGGAAAAGGTTCAGAGGTTTGCAACGAGACTCGTCCCAGAGCTACGAGGGATGGGGTATGAAGAGCGCCTGAGGGAACTGTGCCTTACGACACTAGAAAGAAGAAGGGAGAGACATGATAGGAACGTATAAGATACTCAGAGGAATTGACAGAGTGGACATAGACGAAATGTTCACACGGAATAGTAACAGAACGAGAGGACATGGATGGAAGCTTGAAACTCAGATGAGTCACAGAGATGTTAGGAAGTTTTCTTTTAGCGTGAGAGTAGTGGGGAAATGGAATGCACTTCAGGAACAGGTTGTGGAAGCAAATACTATTCATAATTTTAAAACCAGGTATGATAGGGAAATGGGACAGGAGTCATTGCTGTAAACAACCGATGCTCGAAAGGCGGGATCCAAGAGTCAATGCTCGATCCTGCAGACACAACTAGGTGAGTACAACTAGGTGAGTACACACACACAACACACACACAAAGCACATAACACACACACAACACACACACACACACAACACATAACACACACACACACAAAGCACATAACACACACACACAAAGCACACAACACACACACAAAGCACATAACACACACACAACACACATAACACACACACACAACACACTCACAAAGCACATAACACACACACACAAAGCACATAACACACACACAAAGCACATAACACACACACAACACACACAACACACACACACACAACACACAACACACACACACAAAGCACATAACACACACACAAAGCACATAACACACACACAACACACACACAAAGCACATAACACACACACAACACACTCACAAAGCACATAACACATACACAACACACACACACACACACACAAAGCACATAACACACACACACACACACACACAGCACATAACACATAACACACACACAACACACACACACAAAGCACATACACACACACAAAGCACATAACACACACACAAAGCACACACACAAAGCACATAAACACACACACAAAGCACATAACACACACACAAAGCACATAACACACACACAACACACACACAAAGCACACAACACACACACAAAGCACATAACACACACACAACACACACACAAAGCACACAACACACACACAAAGCACATATACACACACACACAAACACATAACACACAGCAAAGCACAACACACACACAAAGCACATAACACACACACAAAGCACACACACACACACACACACAAAGCACACACACACACACACAAACACACACAAAGCACATAACACACACAAAGCACATAACACACACACAAAGCACATAACACACACACAAAGCACACACACACACAAAGCACATAACACACACACAAACACATAACACACACACAAAGCACATAACACACACACAAAGCACATAACACACACACAAAGCACATAACACACACACAAAGCACATAACACACACACAAAGCACATAACACACACACAAAGCACATAACACACACACAAAGCACATAACACACACACAAAGCACATAACACACACACAACACACACACAAAGCACATAACACACACACACAACACACAACACACAACACACACACAAAGCACATAACACACACACAACACACTCACAAAGCACATAACACACACACAACACACACACAAACACACAACACACACAACACACACACAAAGCACATAACACACACACAAAGCACAAAGCACATAACACACACACACACACACACACACACACACACAAAGCACATAACACACACACAACACACACACAAAGCACACACACACAACACACACACAAAGCACATAACACACACACAAACACATAACACACACACACACACACACACAAAGCACACACACACACACACACACACACACAACACACACAACACACACACAAAGCACATACACACACACACACACACACACAAAGCACATAACACACACACAAAGCACACACACACACACACACAACACACACACAAAGCACATAACACACACACACACACACAAAGCACAAAACACACACACACACACATAACACACACACAAAACACATAACACACACACAGCACACAACACACACAACACAAAGCACATAAACACACATAACACACACACAAAGCACATAACACACACACAAAGCACATAACACACACACAAAGCACATAACACACACACAAAGCACATAACACACACACAAAGCACATAACACACACACAAAGCACATAACACACACACAAAGCACATAACACACACACAAAGCACATAACACACACACAAAGCACATAACACA